ATCTCGGCGCACTTCAGTGAAGAGGGATTACCGCCAGTGTCAGAAATAATCCAGGCACCATGGAAGAGTGTGCCCATGCAGATGACAGAAAGAATAGTGAAGCGGTTGCCAAGTGCATCGCGACATTCGAAGCAATCTGCTGTGATCTCGTAGTTGAAGGTGTAGAGGCTCGGAGGTCGAACAACAGGTGTTAGGTCGGGCTTCTTAAGCTGTTGACAAGCCTCGCGACGAAAGTATTTGATCCTGTTCAAGACTTCAGGATCAGCCTTTGCCAGCTTGAGCATTCTTGCCATAGCTGATGAGCTTGCGTGACCAATCATCTGATGTAGTCGTCGAACTGCGACTCGTCTATCTCTAAGCAGGCAGCATGGTCTTCACGAGACTCTTCTTGCCGAATCTCCTGTTCACCAAGTCGTGGAGGTAGAGGGACAACAGTTTCATCCTGAGGGTTGTAAATCTTGTCCAAAGTGCCGAAGGGTGCTTCATCTTCCTGTCAGCAGGGAAGGCGTACTTGGTGTACGTATGCTCGAGCTCATCTTGCAATCCCGAGAGGAGTGCGTGGCATAGCTCAGGTGGCCATGCAATCTTGAGCTTTCTTGGTACGGTTGCCTCCTTCAAGAGGTTGATGTTCATGATCTCCAGAACATTCACGGTTGAGGTGGTTCTTGATTCCTTGACTGGCTGTCAAGATGCCAGTAGGCTTCTTGTGAGGAAGGCCGGTGATGGCGTCCTTAAGACCAAACTCACATTGGTCGATGTAGCAAGCGCTAAGAGGTTTACCGGCTACGCCATCCTCAATCTAATCAGCCAAGAGGCGTTGAAGTGCCAAGGTGCTCCACCTCTTGGAAAGCCAGGGCTGTTCGAAGATCACTTGTCGTCCTCGGGCAACACGTTATCGGATGATCTTCACCATCCATTTGCAGACAGGATACCACAATTATCGAAGTGCTTCAAGTCTTGGAGCATAGTCTGCATCTTTTGCTACGGACAGCTGCTGCATCGGAGACCATGGTCCGCAGACTGGGGAAAAGTTCACACCATAAGGATCATGACTATTAATGACCTTCTCGATCTTGGCTCGGTGACTTGAATTAAGCAAATTGGATCCGTCCAACAAAATGTCGCACGGTTGTGAAACAATGTAGCCTGCATCGGCTGCCATCATGGAGAGCGTTGCAGTGCCAACAAAAATCTCGAAGAAGAAGGTGCGGCAGCCTTTTGGCAAAATTCATGGTCGATTCAGACCTGAGCGAAGAGTGCCCCACAAGTGCCGGTCGGCTTTCTTGGTCTCCTTCACCTCGGCAGTGAAGTGTCGGCGCTGACCCTTGGTGAAGGTCTTCTTGGAGGAAATCTCGTCTAGCGCCAAGTGCGCCTCAGGGCACAGAACAATCTCTTCTTCAATAGGCTCAGGCACTGTGGAAGTCTCCACTTCTGCTTTCTTGACCGTATCATACTCAGTCATCTTGACGTTCTGGGTCTCAGTACTGGGGCTCGGTCATCTCACAGTCATGAGAGGCGTCTTCAGCATGGAGCCCAAGCTAGCCGGGAATGAGAGGGATGGCCATCAGGCCTCCGCGGTTGACTACTTTAACATTGCTACCCAGAATGTCGCTGCTGACCTTCTTCTTGTTGAGGTCGATGACAAAGCCCAATTGTCTTTGGGTTTCGATCGAGAGCAGCAGGGGAGCATCGGAGTCCCCGATCTCCAGTGACGTCATTGTGCCTCTGGCGTAGTCACCGTTCTCAAGTTCAAAACTCAACCCAAGAGTTCGCTGTCCAGCGAGCTTCATCTTTCCACCAAATCCTTTCATTCCACTTCCAGCCACAGGTTGAAGAGCTGGTTCACAGCCAACGACAACACAGTACTTGCGAAGCCAGGATGCACCATAACAGGTGGCGTTGCGGCCAGTGTCCAAGATGGCCAGGATGTCTTCCTCAGAGCCAGGTATTTGTCGAATGGCCATGAGTGCAGTGGGCTGTTTCTCACTGGGCATGTGATTGGCTTTCATCTCACGGAAGTAGCTGGAGAGCTTCTTCATACCAGGCGATGAGGATGTAGTGCAATGATCAAGGCACCATTTGACATAAGCTTGATCTTGCCAAGCCTCGAAGAAGGTTCGGTTCTTGTAGGAACCATGGTTGAGAACTGTTTGTCCTTCTTCTTGGAGCTTCTCCTCTAATGTTGTCGTAGAGGGCGCCGGCGCGCTCTTCGGAGGCATCTTGTTGGAGACTCGAGATGATGCTGTCGGCGGTGACTGCTTCTGATTGGTCACACTGATAGCCACTTCAAGCGCTGAGATCACTTCATCAATGGGTAGCTCACCACTTGGACCGCGGTCTTCCTTCAGCTTGAGGGCTACGTCAAAGATGTACATCATCATGCCGGTGTTGGAGACATTGATGGTTCCAGGGTACACTTGTGGTGGTGCCCTTGATGATGTCGATGAAGTAGTCCTTGCAGCTCTTGCGGAAGTAGTATGCATTGCTTCCAGAAGTTGTGGTGTCAACATGTGAGCAAAGAGCTTGCTTTCGAGCTAGAGCATCATCCTTGTCCATTTGAGCTGAGCGCATGGACAGAGCAGCACGTTCATCACGTCGTTGTTGTCCAGGATCAGGAGGCGCTGCATCTTTGAAATGCTCAGGGAAGCGATCCTCGATGGCAAAGTGACTGGACATCTCAGCTTCCAAATCCATGTCCATACGAGGAAAGTCTTGTAGATCACCGGGCAGTGGATAGGCCGGTTGGTGGCCAAAGAACGAAGTGATGCCACGGAAGATGTTGCTCAAGCCAGGTGGTGGCGTTGTCTTCTGATCTTCTAAGGGCAGTGGAACTGGCTCTTGTGGAACTTCACCTCCGAGTGCTTCACGAAGCATGACCATATCAAGATCATCTTGATTGAGAACCATCTCATTGCTTGCAGTGCGAAGGCGTTCCTCTGCATCAACAATGGAGTCCATTGTTATTCAATGGACCAGGCAGGTGAGATAGTTGGCGACGCAGTGGAGCCATCTTCCAACGAAGAGGGTGGAGGAACTGTATTAAGCGCATAGCCATGTAGCACATGGAATCATCTTCTTCGTCCTCAGGTGGAAACCAATCTTCATCATTGCCCTTGACGGCAAAGTAGACGCAGCGGTCGGCAGATTCTTTTGACTTACCTTTGCCCTTGTTAGGCGTTGAGGATGAAGAGGAAGAGGTAGTCTTCTTTGCTCTTGCCGCCGTTGCCTTTGGGGCATGATGGATCAGAGGACCAATGACCCACTTATCCACAGCGTCGGCAGGCAGGTCGTTCTTTCAGCTGAGCGATCTTCTGCTGGCGTTCGGTGAGTGACAACTGACCTTGAACATTGAACTGACGAGGACCAGGGTAGCGACCTTTGCCCTTGAAGCCTTTGAATCCCTTGTAGGCAGCATTCGATCGAGTCAGGTAGGCTTCATACTCAGCTTGGACGACATCAGCAGCATACTCCAAGCTTTCTTCATCATCCAGGTCGACGCCTTCAGCGGCCATCATCGCCAGGGCGTCATGTTCGGTGAACTCCTCGAAGTCATAGTTCGGGTCGAGGTCATTCGAATTGCCAGCTTCGGGATCCATCTCGCCTGCGTAGGCGTTGTAGCCATCATCATACCAATCATCTTCACCATAAATGTCCTCAGGCATGTAGGACCTGAAACCAGAGCCTTTGCCTCGGTCTCGCCAAGAGCGATGAGGATGTCGTGACATGAAATGTCCTTTCCCTCGATGAGCTCCGTGGGACACTTGTTCGTGAACTCGGCTGTGCTGGGCAATCAACTCCATGTTGACCTTCTCAATGGTCATGTCACCAGCAATGGCCGATCGGATGAGAAGCTGGTGGTCGGCACTGATGCCGGAGTTCAAGAGCGTTTGCTCTGCAAGTATCGATTCTGGAAGCTTGAGGTGCTCATCCAAGTCGATCAAGGCAGCATACCAGGCACGACGGCGAAGCACGTATGTCGCCATGGGTTCTTGAGGCTGTCTGGACATGATGCCACCTTGGGTGGCTCCAGCTTGATAAAGCTCTCGAGCTTCCTGAGTTCGGCGATTCGGCGGAGCTTCAAAGCCTGAGTGAGGTGGCCAAAAAACTCTTCTGCACCTTCAGGTGAGGCCAAGACCTTGGTGGGGATCTGCTGTGCAACCTTGAGAGCCGAGCCTGATAGGCCCTCGACCAGTCGGAGTCCCAATGGACCAAGTTTCTTTACTTCATCTTCACCCATCAACTTCTCCTTGGCCATCCGTGCTCTCACACGGAATGAGTATTCCGAAAGGCGCGAGGTCTCTCCGCCTTAGCGGGGCAAGCCACCTCCACGGCTCTCCGTGGATGCAAAGGACTCTTCATCTTGAATGAAGTTCGAGTAGCGGAGCGTGTTGATGAGCGACATGGCACAGGTGCGGGCCGCTCCGAGCTTCCTAGGTATTACAAGTTCGTGAACAAGTTCGTGAACTGAACAGCCTAGGGGATGCCAGGAAACCAAACCAGGTGGATGGGCGAACCAAAGGGGCCCTACGGAGTCAGACCAGCTCCGCCTACCAATGTGAAAACAAACCACAAAGGCAGCCAGCGTGCACGCTTTTTGAGCCATGCTTGAGCCACGGTATGTGGCGAGGTCGTTCTGTGCTCATGCCGTGCTCACACTTCCATGCCAACTGCAAAGGCCTCTAGGTTACCTCATGTGACATGTGGGGACCATGAGGAGGCTCGATTTTCACATCAAAATATATTAAGATTTCAAATCAAGCTTTACGGCCTGTCATCGCCCGAGGGCTACATCGTCATATTTTGAGGTTAATACAATGTGGTAGGCCTCATCGTCACCTCACGGGTCTACAAAATACATTTTATACGGGCCCCAGGCCAATCATTTTATTCGGACATGTTGACCCCTATTCATTCAGTATTGTTTTTGCATCACCAAATCCAGTAAAAGGAATTCCTTGCCTGTAGGGGCCTAAATACAACTTGCTTCCGCCTCCACTTTTTCATTTGGTCTTTGAGCTCTGTGAGTTCTGCTCCTCTTGAGCTTCTAATCTTGCTAAGACTTCTTCGCCAGAGCCAACCCACCTGTCAGGCTGGAAGGTGTGAGAAGTCTTCAAAATGGTCTGGAAATCATCCACCTCCTTGTTTCCCTCCAAACGTCAAAGGCTACCTGCAACAACTTTGCAAAGAGTTGTCGCATACAAGTCTGGCAGAACGTTCCAGCGCCTCAAGCTTCACATTTGGCAAGAGTCGCTTGAATTGACCTTGCCCAACGTGACAAACATATTACAAAAGCTGTCCGACGGATCAAGGAGCTGAGGGGCAAGCAACAGCAGGCCAAGCATGAGATACACAGTGTGTGGGTCGCGTACAACCGGACTGCCCCGGTCACATCTGGCATAACCTCAGATGATTTGACTTGGATTGGTGCAGAATGTTCTCCCGGAAGTCAATACACCCCTCTGCCAGTTTGCATGATTCTGCCTTCAAGGAACATCGTCTGCATACCTGGACTGCGTGCGGAATTTCAACCCTGGGGGGCATCCAAAAGATTGGCACATTTCAGCCCGAGCAAGACTCCTATTGGTGGCTTCTTAGGCTTCCACTTTGCGGGCTCTTCTTTGTCCTCGGCGTTTGCCTATGGAGGACGAAGCCACAGCATTATATACATGCTTAGTTTGGCTGGACAAACTACAGAATGGGGAATGTTCTGCATTTCGCCGGCCAATTGCCTGGGCAAAGCAGGAGGTTGGCCCCTCAGCATCATCTTAAGCGCAGCTTGTGCCAACCAAGAGGACGATTTTCTTCCGAACACGATTGGGTCGCCAACGAGCGATTGATCCTGGAGACTGGCATTCAAAGGATAGCCTGACAGCATAAGATCTACTATTCTGTAGACACAAAGATGTTTCAATACCTAGTAACAAGGACATCGCTACTAGTAACAAGGGCATTACTTCTAGTAACAAAAGCTACTAGTAGCATCGCGATGCCCTTGTTACTAGTAGAGATACACTTTTTACTAGCAGCCACAAACAAGAATGAACATGAACAGCATAATCTTGGGGACCTCTGCTTGGCATTGTGTTGCAAAAGCCTCATGTGCTCGCGACTTGCAACAAGAAAGAATATGCGGGACACATGAAGTGGGAGCAAAGCCTTGCTGGAAGGTGCAAAAGTGCCACACAAACACGGCACCTGAGAGGATATTCGAATGAACATCATGCGCTCAAAGTATGATTTGCAGCTCATATGGCCATACAAATTGCTCTTGGCCATTTGCTGAATATGCCAACACCAGCATGTCTTCTTCTGGCTCTCCTCACCTGCGTGCTCCGACTGAAAATATCACTCTCCGCTCCACTGAAATAGCCACAATCATCGCACTAGTGCTCACACAAGGTCATAACCTCACGCGCGCTCGCCATGTGCGGCCTGGCGAGTGGCTGCAAAAGCCACGGTGGAAACACTGGTTGGCAAACGCGAGAACTTTGCACAGCCTTGCTGGTGCAATCTATTCTGCAACTCTGAGCATAATCATTGGTGCAAAATTAGCTTTGCATGTTGACAAATCCTGTAAGTTTACTTCATTGAATGCAACATTGCCATCAAATTCAAGCGGGGTGTACTGGCATGTCCCAAACTCAAACAAAAGACTTTCTCAATCTGCTCTTTTCTGTGCAAGCAATGGTAGCATTGGTAGCTACGGTCTGAAAAGTAGGGCTGTGCTGTTTTGCAAAGTACAGTTGCAATCCTCTTCATAAAATGAAACAACGAGTGCAAACAACATGAAAATGTGTTGGACCGGCGCCACATCCCTGTGCTTCTAGGGGCTTTGTACAGCTCAGGTAGTGCGAGGCAACCTGGATGTCTCAAACGTTCCAAAGTGAGAAAGCACAACGGAGCGCAATACTGCAAAGGCCATTGGCTAACGTACTCAAAGGCCCAAGCCGCTTCAGTGCTCCATTCTGTGCATTGCCGGACCCTGCAAAGCATGTTTTCTGAACTGCATGCAATACAGTAAACGGCAAAACGCAGCGAAACGAAAATGCAAATGCATCCTTTAGTGCTGCAAAGGGACTGGTCTGTCATCCTTCCGTGGGAACTGGCTGCGTTTTCAGGACCGAAGAGTACCACATCTGCATGGAAAGGACATGTCTCACTTCTCACTTCTCATGGGCAATATATATACAGTAACTCATATTGCTGACATACAAACAAATAAGAAACAAGGAAACAAGATCCCTCGTATGTACATGCCTCATGGCTTTTCCCCAGCACGCTCTTGTAGACAGGCCTGCAAAATCCCAGTCTGGGTGACGCAAAAAAGAAAGAGACTGAGTGCCGAACAAAATCCTCTCTGAGAAGTGGCTGCCCAGTACAACGCCTCCCCCAAAGCAAAGAAGACTGAAGATCATGGCCTCAAAAAGTGTCAGGCACAAGTAGGCACAAGTGACAAAGTGAACAATCCCAGCAGGGATGGTCTGAAGGGGCTTGAACTATGAATGTAGGCCGCAGGCTCTTGCCACTGGAAGAACTCTTGGTCAAGATGTGCCAAAACAGCTGTGGAGCAAATTTGTGACAATTGTCGCCGCCCTGCCCCCCCTTCCATTCCTGTACACAAAAAAACTCCATCCACGCACTCAGCTATCTATGCCCTTTTTATCAAACAACTGCATGACACTTTACTGCTAGTTTTGGAGGGCACAGGAATGTTGCAAAACAATGAGATCATCCAAACAAGCACTGATACTCTGTCGAATCGAATGACACCCCAAAGCCTCGGACTCCTGGCGGGATCTATATATTCCGGAACTGCATCGGCTTAGTTTCTGAGTTCTACTCTCTGCAATTCTGAGCATAATCATTGGTGCAAAATTAGCTTTGCATGCTGGCAAATCCTGTAAGTTTACTTCATTGAATGCAACCTTGCCATCAAATTCAAGCGGGGTGTGTATGGGCATGTCACAAAAACTCAAGCGAAACACTTTCTCAATCTGCTCTTTTCTGTGCAAGCAATGGTAGCATTGGTAGCTACGGTCTGAAAAGTAGGGCTGTGCTGTTTTGCAAAGTACAGTTGCAATCCTCTTCATAAAATGAAACAACGAGTGCAAACAACATGAAAATATGTTGGACCGGCGCCACATCCCTGTGCTTCTAGGGGCTTTGTACAGCTCAGGTAGTGCGAGGCAACCTGGATGTCTCAAACATTCCAAACTGGTTTTGGCCGTTTGCCTCTGGGCTGAATGAATTCTTTTGCAAACAACTTGTGCCGCAGAACTTATCAATGCACTACTTGCAATCGAACATGCACGTTCTCAAAGGCCCATGCCGCTTCAGTGCTCCATTCTGTGTTTTTCCGGACCTGCAAATGATGAATGTTTTCTGAACGGCACCATTGCGATGCAGTTGAAGCTGCGCAGTCCTGGTGATAGGCATTGTCTATGATCCTGGTGCCTGCAGGCGAAACGAGCTGCAAAACACAGTGGAACTAAAATCCTAACACATACTAGTGCAGCAAAGGAACTGGTCCGTTACCAGTTGGAACTGGCTGCGTCTTGAGGACGGAAGAGTACCACATCTGCATGGAAAGGACATGTCTCACTTCTCACTTCTCATGGGCAATATATATAATTGACATTGCTGACATACAAACAAAAAGAAACAAGGAAACAAAATCCCTCGTATGTACATGCCTCATGGCTTTTCCCCAGCACGCTCTTGTAGACAGGCCTGCAAAATCCCAGTCTGGGTGACGCAAAAAAGAAAGAGACTGAGTGCCGAACAAAATCCTCTCTGAGAAGTGGCTGCCCAGTACAACGCCTCCCCCAAAGCAAAGAAGACTGAAGATCATGGCCTCAAAAAGTGTCAGGCACAAGTAGGCACAAGTGACAAAGTGAACAATCCCAGCAGGGATGGTCTGAAGGGGCTTGAACTATGAATGTAGGCCGCAAGCTCTGCCACTGGAAGAACTCTTGGTCAAGATGTGCCAAAACAGCTGTGGAGCAAATTTATGACAATTGTCGCCGCCCTGCCCCCCCTTCCACTCCTGTACACAAAAAAACTCCATCCACGCACTCAGCTATCTATGCCCTTTTTCTCAAACAACTGCATGACACTTTACTGCTAGTTTTGGAGGGCACAGGAATGTTGCAAAACAATGCGATCATCCAAATAAGCCCTGGTACTCTGTCGAATTGGCCTGGAATCAGTTCGTGTATACCAAGCAACTCAGTCAGTCGGATCTATATTTTCCGGAAAGCGCATCGGCTTAGTTTCTGAGCTCTTGAGACTTGAGGCTAAAGGTCTGGAAGCTCTCATGGTGTCTTCATTTCTTCTTATAAGTCTGAACACTCTGAGCCCGCTTCTTTGCCTGGAAGTGTCCTTTAGCATAAAAGACTCATGAAGCTCTGCTGCTTTTGCTTGCATTGTCTGCAGAAAAACCTGAGCATTGCCCCAGCAAGGATGAAGTCTCCTCAAGAATGAAGAATTGAACTTGGCCGCAGCAAAAGATAAAAGGTCACTGCTGTCTAGAGAACAACTGTTCAATGAGGGCCTTCTGCATGATAGTCCTTAGCCTAACGCCATCTAAAGCTTGAATATATCATAATGCACATATATATATATACATATGCCAGTGTCAGTGTATCCAAATGTGATCTTTCTCAAACTTGACATTCTCGGTGACTCATTCCAAGGGCTGTGAAGCCCACGTCTGTCTCGCTCATGAGAAGACGTGGGCTTCAAAGAAGTGGCTGTTCCGCCGACTTCCAAAAGGTGACAACCACACAAACCTTTCAACATGTTTCTATTGAATGTCCAAGCTGTATATGTAAGTTTTACAGGGACTCGAGCACAGACTGCTATGCCGTGCTTGTTGACAAGGAATGCTCTTCTTCCATCTGTAGGCCGTCACATGTCACAAGGATACAAACAATGCTAAGCACCCCATGTCCAGGGAAGCTGTATCTTGGCCAAAATGATGCATGGACACCCACGCAGTTGCGACACCATGGCAGTGATAAAACAAGAACTTGAACCGAGTCTTCGTATATACAACATTTTGGCCAGGTCCTTCCAAAGAATCCGTTGAAACAATGCACTTCAAAGGGGCCGGTCTTCAAACGCCAGGCCAGGTGAGCTTGCCAAGGGCACACAAAATCTCAGAGACACCGCTGAGATGCGAAGCATACATGAAGACTAGCAATGCCGAACGTGAAAATAGCGACGGAAAACGGGTGACCTTTTAGTAAACAAGTGACTCCGGGGAGTGTCCCATGGCTGACTGTTGAGTAGCCGACCAACGGCCTCTACACCACTAGGCGTGTGCGGGACAACTCAAGCAGGACGTAGAATTCTGTCGTGCATGAATGGTTTGCAGCTCTTCACAGCCGCAATGAATAATCACAAAAAATGATCCGTGAAAAGCACTTTGGATTGAAGCATTCTATACTAGAAGTCGTTGTTTTTGTTATGACATCTTTTGAGTTGTCCCCGTAACACCTGCCACGCGGACTTGTGTGCCAAATACTCGCACCAAGATCACAGCCGTGCCAAACACACACGCGCAAAGAAACACCAACAATTTGGTGCAGCGTGGCTCATGCCAACAGTCCATTGGAATGGACTCGAGTTACGCAAGCCAAGCGAAAGTGCCCAGCCCAAAATTCGACTATTGACTCGTACAGCTTGGGTTCACGAAATGGCTGCTGCATCGTGACTCAAGACTCACATTTCTTCTGGAGCAGTGGCCATTCTGCCTGTGCCATGTTTGATGATCATAGTGTTTAAGCATGTTTAAGCCATGAATCGACAACTGATGGTTCAATTGAGAAAGGCACGGTTCATCATTGACAGCATCAGCCTGGCCTAGCTTCACATCAAAGTTTCGAAGGACGGGTTGGACGGCATCCCTCCCATGCTGTCCAGTCTGCCGGCAGCCTCAAGTTGGGGATGCTCTTTTTGATGCGCGGAATGACCTTGTTGTCCACAAGTTCCATTTGCAAGCACAAGTAGAGTCAGTAAGAGTTCATGTGGTCGAACATTTTAGGTCTTTTAGGGCCAGAACTGTGTGTACTGTCCTGAGCCTTGGAGGTTCTTCCTCGTCGGAAGGGAGTTCCAGGAAGGTATTTTTCACAATCGCCTCAGAAAGAATTGCATTGCTCACTGTTGCACTGTGGTCTGCACATGGATTGGAATGCTCGAGGATGCGGCCCCATAGTTTTGATTGAGCTTTGTGTTTGGCGAGATAGGTTCCAGGTCAGGTGTCAGCTCCTCCACTCAACTGAAACAGCGCGTCTTCAAGCTATCCAAATGCGTTCTATGTTGATATTTGCCCTTGGTCTGAGGCCACTTCTCTTGTTTGCACTCACAAGACTTGCAATCAAACTCTTCGTTCCGTGATCCGGATTGATACCGTGCCAAAGCATTCTTTAGCATGTTACGGCCGTGCTGATTGGCTTTTGTAGCTGCTGCAAACTGGGCAGGCGTTAGAGTCGTGAGTCGTTAGAGTATCTCCTTGCCAGTGGGCCCATCCTCAGCTTCATCCTCCTCCTGTTGTAGCACATGGATGTGCGCCCCTCAATATCAATGAAGTGACACTGCCTCTTCGTGAACAGCTGAAAAGGGCGAAGAGCCCGCACCTGAGCAAACTGTCAAATGCGCATTAAAGTGGGCATTGCAATACAGAACAAATCAAGAGAAGTTCAACTTCTAACAAGTTTGTTGTGAACTGCTTGGGGCCCTTCCGGTTTTTCACGGGTACTTGTTGGGCAGGATTCACGGCCTACCCTGGCTATCCCGGCTCCAAAAAAAAAGAAACACAGGGATAATATGTGTACCTTGTGGATTGCTGGGTCGTTGGCTATCTGAGGATCGGCGTCTGGCAGGTTGTAGCGGAGTGTCCTGCCACAAGGAGGGTTCCCAACGGCAAGCGAAAACAGTCTTGCGATCGATGGTAGCTAGCTAAGCCTACTTTTCTGGTTGAGTCAGAAGGAGATGTCTGGCAGACCGACCTGCAAATGACGTAGCATCTGACTCTGATACGAAGACTTGCTGCGCCGGTCAGAAGTGGAAGACGCAGCAAGTGTGGATCTTGTGATGTCAGGGGTGATGATGAGACTATCGCATGACCCCCACAAGCAAGGTCGGTGGCTCGAGAATGCTGTTCTTGAACATGGCACAACAATGTCAAGCAGGCTAAACGAACCCTCCGAAACTGTGGATGCAGCATGTCCAATGTGGCTCCTGGAGTCTCTTCTCCGTAGGTGCGTCAGTAGAGGTAACTGATGTCTCAGAGCACTCGCTGATCTGACGTCCCATCCTCAAATCCAGCAAGAGTGACCTACCCAGGTGACCTGGCATTACCTCGTAGCTCTTCAAACCAAGCGATTGAACCATTGAAAGAAAGCCAAGTTGCCCTGTCAAGCGCTTGTCTTCTGGTACGCGGTGAAGGCCTCGTGCATCCTCAAAGCGGCAATTTATACAAAGAAGAACAGGAGGTGGACTTGGGCCTGGGCTGCCTGGGCCCTTTAAAGGGGCCCAAATATTTGTTCATTCTTGTTACTTGTTTGTGCAATATCTAATATATAATGACATTGAATGAGGAACGGCGCCGGCCTTAGAAGCCGCAATCAATTGTGGCGGAACCATAGGCGGTTGAGTGGCCATCTGGTGCATGATTTGCTGGAAGTTTTCATGTAGCCCAATGGTCAGAGGCGACTGCTCCACCTGCACGTTGCTCGAATTCAGGTCATTGCATCCAGAATGGCAGCATCTTCATTCTGTACTTGTGCTACTATGCTTGCCAGGCCGAACTACAAGCAAATAGCTAGGCTCTTCAATCACGAAGGCACGTGTGATTGCTGACATAGCAGCTCTCCATTAAAACTGGGGCCCTGCCTTCTCAATATGCAAAACACATCATGATGCGCGAGGTTCCACTGCATGCATTAGGTTAGAGGTTGGAGGCCATTGCTACTAGGTTGGAGGCCATTGTGGCAATTCAACTTGGTTTGGTTCATGGAATGAGTCGCAACTATATCTCAGACCTTCTCCAAGGGGCCCAGCTCGAGCACAGGATCATCAAGCAACTCCTGGTTGAATGAAGAAACAAGGCAACCGACAACCAAAGAAATAATTCAATTTCACTTGCCGCTACAAACGGCTGGCTGTCCTCCTCCATTTCATTGAGTCCTCCGCTCCATGTGTTGATACGTGGGTAGGAGGTGGTGGGCGTGGCAGAGTCCACATCAGCCTCGAGAAGCAGCTGCGGCCCTTCTGGCTGCCACTCTGTGAGCCACACCCCATCCTGAAGACAACAGTATTCTTGACCATAGCAGCCAAGTGACCCGGTGAGGACTTACATTTTCTGGAGTTGGATCCTGCTGAACAACATTTCCAATAGTTTCTCTACTTGAAGTCAGCGCGCCCTGCCTGCGTGGCAGAAGACTTCTGCTCCCGGCGCTTAGGCCTAAGCCACGCAGAAATGGCAAGCACCAATGCTCACAACAGTTGGCGACTCCTCAAAACTATGAGGGGCATTGTCCCTGAGGTGAGCTGTGGCCCAAGCGAAACAGGAGCTGCAACTGCATCCGGCTCCTGCTAGATTTGGTGTCAAATGCAACTGTGCAAAATGCATACATCCGCTTGCGTTCAAGGCACGCTGCGAGAAGGCTGTGTCGACAATTGCCTCTGCACTCATTCCGTGACGTGAGCACAATGGGAGGGAAGGAAGACCAGTAAGACAATGAAGACAGTGGACAACCTAAGCTAGGAACGTCCGAAGCTGACGTTGGATCTCTTGTTGCTGCTGCAGCTGCATCTGCAAGTGCTGCTGCACTTGTGTCGCGAAGGCTTGCCTGAGTTGCACACAGCAAGTTTGGCTGCTACTTGCTTTCGGTAACAGTGGAAGGCCATTTTGAGGTTCCAAGCAAGTACACAATTATATAATTGACATACAATTAGTTCAGTGGTCTTCTCTTGGCCGTCTTGTGTTTGCG